CGTGAAGGCAGTTAAAACCACACACACACTGAAATGCATCTCTCCTATCCTCAAATAACCACTGCGCTCACGTCTCAGATGACGGGGCGGGCGGAGGATGCAGAAACAGCGATGGGCTCCAGGAATCGAGTGGAAACAGATGATCTTGATACGAGGGTGCCGGCTTCTGCAGTTCTGTTCGCTCAGAATTGGGTGGCTTTTGCATGAAACATTTGCATGGTGGTAAATGGCCAGTTGTAAGGAGCCCTGGTGGTGTCGTGGGTGATACATTGGGCTGCCAACTACAAGGTTAGCAGTTCAAACTCATCAGGTGCTCCGAGGGAGGAAGATGGGGCTTTCTGCTCCTGTGGAGATGCATGGTCTTAGAACTCACAGGGGCAGTTCTACTCTGCCTTGTAGGCTCACCGTGAGTCCGAATTGCCTCGATGGCGGTGAGTTTGTGTTTTGGGAACCCTACTTCTGGGCCATGTCTTCCCTCAAGGAGAAGTGATAATTCTTTTTCTTTTTTTTTGCTCCCCACCCCACTCCCACCTCGAGAAGTGATAATTCTATGAGTCAAGTTAGGTAGCTTTAGTTGGTGTGTGCCCTTGAGTGGGACCCCTCCTTTGTAACCCAGCATGGTGTCGTTAACAGAGGATAGAAACAACCTAATGTAATTGTCTCTTTTCACCTTAAAAAAAAAAATACCTGTATCCCATATCTTTACATTTCTGTGAAGGGTGATAAGCTTAGGATGTGAGATTGCTCTTGAGAGAGCCGCAAGGGCAAACAAGCTTTTTCCTACCCATCCCCCAAAGGCCTAACTGCATTGGACTGAATTTTGGCCACTCTCTTTAAGCCCAGTACAGTCACCCAAGCACTGGGGGGCATTGATATGCCAGGGACTGGTCTTTTGTGGGGCTCGGTAGTGGTTTTGAATAAAAGGATTGCTCTCGTGCAACACCCAGGGATATGGGACCCTAGGTGAAAATCCTAGCCTCACCACGTGCTGGTGCTGCTGTTGAGGGCCTGCTGACGCATGATGACCCACACACAGCAGCAAGGCATGCTGTCCGGCGGCACGCATTCCCACGATGGGTTAGCAATCGGACAGCTGTGGTCCACAGGTTTTTAGTGGTTGATTTCTGGAAGCTGATGGCCAGGCCTTTCTTACAAGGCTGTCGTAGCCTGGTAGCTCTTGGAAGCCCCATTGACATCTGCTTTATAGCCAGACGCCCGCAGACAGAGTGGTGGTGGCTTGAGGTTTATCGGTTGGGACTTTCCCTACGCGGAAGGTGAGAATTCTACCACTGCTTCGCTCCACCACTTCCTGACTGTGGCCCCGGACAGATTGTGCAGCCCTGCTAACTGCAAGGTCAGCAGTTTGAAACCACCTGCTGCTCCATGGGAGAAAGACGGGGCTTTCTACCGCCATAACTGTTACGGTCTCGGAAACTCCCCAGGGCAGTTCTTCCCTGTCCTGTAGGATTGCCATGAGTCGGTGAATTTGGCTTTGGTTTTCTAAACTTTATGTTTCTTGTTTGTTACATGGGGGCAGGGATCGCATTTCCTGTTAGGGCCCATGTGAATGTATGCTATGTGATTTGCATGTATGAAAATTGTTAAAGATAAATATGCATATAGATGATATATACATAATAAATAGGATCAGTTACTCTGTCCATGTTGAAGTGTAAAAGAGGCTCCTGTAGCTAACCATTTGAAAATTGTTAAGTGTTAGATTGTATTTCACCATCATTCACAATATGCCATGGACCCTTCACCTCAGTGTCCACCATACTGAGAGCTGCTGCTTTCCACCCCTACTTCCTGCCAGCCATCTCTTCTCCCCGGCCTCCTTCTCTTCCCCTGCTCTATTCTATTTCCCCCACGCTACTCATCGCTCTTTAGTGATCTGCCTAAGGGCTGATGTTGTGCCCCAACTGCTTGGTTCACCAGACTGCAGATTCCACGTCTCTGCTTTTTGCTCACCGTTCTCTCATCAGGGCCTCGAATAGTGCCTGCGCAGAGAGGATGCACACTAACTGTTAGGATGAAGATGTCAACTGTGGACTCGGTTGACGTGATTCTTGCTCCAAACCACAACCCAGCCCACTGCCAGTGAGTCGATTCTGACTCACAGTGACCCTAAAGGGCAGAGTAGAATTGCCCTTGTGGGTTTCCGAGGCTGTAGCTCTTCAGCGGAGTGGAAAGCCTCATCTTTCTCTTGCAGCACAGCTCTGGGTTTTGAACTGTTGACTTTGCAGATAGCAGCTCAACTTGCAACCCACTACACCGACAGGGCTCTGTCCCAGGTTTCTACATACCATCAAATATCACGAGAGCCGGTGCCACCCTCTGAGCTTACACTCTATACTTTGGGAGGCCCCAGTGAGGACTGTGGAATTGGCACATCAAAATCCTTCTCTCCTAGTAGAAGATCATGGAGGCCAAGTGTATTAGTCTAGGCACTTTGGAGAAACAAATATTGAGTTAGTTAATTGTGCCAGCCTGGCTGATAATCACGTGGGGCTAATTGAAAGGCAGAGGGATAAATGGGTGGTCAGCCTCGCCTTTCTGGTTCTCAGGTCTCTTGCTTTGTGATGGTCGCACCAGGGTGCAGCTGCCTTAGCAGTTCCCTGCTTCAGCTTGCAAGATTGACTTCCTACAAGATATCCCCAAGGAGAAGCCACATGGACCTATCCCGATGCAGCCCTGGGTGCTGGAGCAGCCGTGTGGAGACCCCTGCTAGTGCTGAGATGCTTATTCGTTCACTGACTCAGCTTTCCTCCTGCAGTCGGCATCATTGCCTCTGTTTTGTGCGGTGGAGGACTTTGTGGACTGGTGTTGGGTTAATGGGTTAATGGGTTGGACTTGTGGGCTTGGGCAGCATTGGGTTGGGATGTTTTCGTGATGCACATTTTCTTTACATAAAACTCTCTCTTATACATGAGTTGCTGTGGATTTGTTTCTCCAAAGTACCTAGACTAACACACTAATTAAAATAGGTTTGAAGGGATAGGTACGTTGGTGAGGAGAGGGATAGGAGTGATGTGCTTGATGATTCACCTGTTCACATTGAGTGTGTTTACTTTCAGCCTCAGCGCCATCCAAGGGACATGCTTGTCTCAGGGCAGACTCTTTGAAGTTGTCTTTTAACGTTCTTGCCTCTTTTGCTTGGAACCAACCCTTTGTTTCTCTTTGCCTTTCCTTAGGGCACCAATGCCTCTGCTCTGGAAAAAGACATTGGTCCAGAGCAGTTTCCAATCAATGAGCACTACTTCGGATTGGTCAATGTAAGTATTTCAACATGCATGCTTTAAAAAAGAAAATCAAATGGCTTAGAGCGCTTGAAGCAATTCTACTCGCATTTTCATCATTACCCGTTTTAAAGTAATTGTTCCTGCTCGTTAGTAGCAGCAGATAACTGCAGAAAGGGACATTTTGATCCATTTGTGAAGGTCTGAGCTTGTGTGGGGGAGTGGGGGGGGGCAGGATTTAATGGGTACATCTGATTCTCTTCTTTTTTTTCCTTCTGTGCTTCAAGGGGTTTCCTTTGCACCCACTACTTTCTGAGCCATCTTGTTAGACTTTGTAGCCAAGTCTACTGTGAAACTGTCTCCCTCCAGTATCTGGATGAACTCCTCTCGCCTTTTGTTTCAGTATGTATCGGTACAACCAGGGTTTTCAAAGTTACCAGCTCATCACCAGTCATGCTAACATGATAACCTGGTGGTGGTGGAGCCGGAAACTGGAACTCCACGCCGCAGGTACAGACGGGGGCAAATTGGTCTCAAGCTTCCATTTGACTGGCCCTCAGCAAGAAAACCAGTCGCCATCGAGTCAGTTCTGAGTCAGGGTGACCCTGCGTGTCAAGGGTGGAACTGTGCTCCTTAAGATTCCCAGTAGGTGGTTTTGCGGGGGTGAGGTGGGGAGTTGGGGGTGGATTGGCAAGCTTTTCTTCTGAAGTACCTTGAAAATTTCATTTTTATTGTAAAAAATTTTTTTTATTGGGGCACTTATAGCTCTTGTGACAATCCATCGATCCATGTATCAAGCACATCTGTACATGTGTTGTCTTCTGAGGCACCTTGGAGGAGACTCGGACCCCTAGCCTTTCCATGAGTGGCTGAGCTCTTTTTCACCACCCAGAGACTGTGTTCAGCACCGAGCCCTTGTATGTGGCCAAGCCCTGTGTCCTTGCTGCACTATAGCCATGGAGAATGGCACTATGTCCCACTGCCCTTCTGAGCTGTCTGCCTCAGCCAATCTGCGTGGAAGTGTTAAGTGACGTCAAACATTCACTCGCAAACACCGGTTTTTTAGGACAACCACCTGGACCACATTGTGTTAGTGCCCAGGTGCGGTACGTAGGGCTTGCCACCGGGGAGGTCGAAGCTGATCTTGACCAGCGAAGGCCAGCCTGTGTTCGTAGTAAAGGACCTGGCCTTGCAGAAATGCTGCTTTAAGGAGGAGCTTGAACTCTGCCTGGGCTGCTCACTAGCAGGGCAATCTTGGGTACGTTGCCTGCCTTCTCAAAGCCCGTTTCCCCATCTGTCAAGGGGGGGATGAAGATGTCACCTATGTCTTGGGCTCACACTAGAAAGTCAGCGAGAGCTTCTATTTCAGACCCCGATGAAGCCAAGAGGCAGATTTCGGACACTCAGTAAATGTTAGCTCTTTTTCTTCCCCAGAACTTGTCTCTGGACCCTTCCTCGCCAGGCGCTGTGGAAGGGGGATTTGGGTAAAGGCGGGAGACTTGAGGAGAAGGACAAGGAGGTTGGAAGGAGGAAGGATACATTTGTGGAACATAGAGAGCTGTGTTGGCTGAACTCTGCCGTCAGTCTTCCCGCATGTTCACGAAGCCATTGTGCCCAGGCCTCCGCTCAGCCCTATCTTGGGAGGGAATGGAGTTAAGGCCACTTCTGCCTGTGCGGAGGGACTGTGAGAGCCAGGCGGGTGAACTGCCCCAAGGACGCTCCCTTCCAATGGTAATTTATGGATGTTTCAGGCTCTCCGTTAAAAAGAAAAGAAAGAGCCTTATCTATTACATAATTGTGGTGAAGTCGATTAAAATTGCATGTGAGATAGGAAATTTCCTATTCCAGTACACATAGACATGCCCTGAGAAGGACGGCAGAGCATCTGTCTCGTTCTCGGCCAAACGACACACGGGCCGGCCGCGTGCGAGTCCTATGTCCCTCCCAGGCGGCGCCCAGGCTGATGTGGGTGATGAATAGCGCTCGTTCTTCAGACACGCTCCTTTATCACTTTACCAGGCATGGAGGAGTCCACAGCGCAAGCCTGTCCCAGCTGTGCCCCCACCCCCCAGCGTAGGTCTTCTCGTCACCGGGGAGGGACCCACGTGTCCATCTGTGGGCTGGGGCCTTGCCGAGGCCTCAAACATTGCTCATGTGGGCCCTCATCTGAGACCAGGAAGCTGGGTGGTACGGGGTTGCCGCCTACATGGGAGGGGGTGTCGAAGCTCGGATGCCGAGGGGTGTGGTGGCCTCTCTGCCTCTGCCGCCCTGAGAGGAGAGAGGAGATGGGGTCTGAAGCCGGAGCTCGGGGGAGCCCTGCACTTTGTAGCAGGAGGGTTTGCCACAGCCAGTTCTCGTTCAGCTGAGCCCGGGGGTGCGGACATCCTTTAGATTGGGGTTTCATTTTCCCCGGCAGCTGCATTTCCGTGTGCCACCGAGCGGCATCTTCTCTTTAGGCAGCCGCCTTTCTCTGGGTCTGCGTGTTCCGTGGGCATTTATCTGGAAGCACACAAGGCCCCATTAGAGTCTCTTTATCAACGCAGTGGCCACTTTGGCGAATTAGACCGGCAGCAGCAGCAACAGCACTGTTTCCTCTCGAAGGGGACAGGGTCCCCAGGCTCGTGTAAACTTTTATTCTTGTTTTTGGTCGCCGGAGCTGACAGAGCCAGACACGCTTCGTTCCTGACGGGAGGAGCCGAGGGTAGTCTGCAGAGGGCGGTCGCCTCTCTCTGCCCGTGATTTCCGAGGGTCCCCGTCCTTGGACCGGCGTTGAGCCATCCCTGTTGTCCTTTGGCAGTTCGGAAACACGTGCTACTGTAACTCCGTGCTCCAGGCGCTGTACTTCTGCCGGCCGTTCCGGGAGAATGTGCTGGCCTACAAGGCCCAGCAAAAAAAGAAGGAAAACCTGTTGACGTGCCTGGCAGACCTTTTCCACAGCATCGCCACGCAGAAGAAGAAGGTGGGCGTGATCCCACCAAAGAAGTTCATCTCCCGGCTGAGGAAAGAGAACGGTGAGTGGCCCGCGGTGCGGTGCGGGGGAAGCTCCGGGGTGAGGAGGCCTGCAGTGTCTATGCAGCCAGGGCGCGAGAAGGTGCCTTGCTTTCTTTTGCTGTCTGCTTGTTTGGGCCATTCCGACTCTTGGCGACCCTACAGGACACAACAGAACTGCTCCCGAGAGCTTCCGAGGCTGCACATCATGAGGGGGACAGAATGCTATGTTTGTCTCCGTCAGTGCAGCTGGTGGGCTCAGCCCACCGACTTATTGGTCCGCAGTGGGGTGCTATAGCTGCCGCACCACCAGAGCCTCTTAAACTCGAAAAGGGAAACATAGGTGCCTTTTGGAAGAGCAGGTACAGAGAACCAGCGCGGGAAGCAGAGTCCTCCCAAACCTCTTGTGCACACCACCATTTCTCTCATGCCGACCAATGCATCCCTGGAGAACAGTGGTTCTCAACCTTCCTAATGCCACGACCCTTTCATACAGTTCCTCATGTTTTAGTGACCCCCCAACCATAACATTACTTTCATTGCTACTTCATCACTGTCATTTTGCTTCTCTTATGAATCCGGCGACCCTGTGAAAGGATCCTTTGGCCCCCAAAGGGGTTGCGACCCACAGGTTGAGAACCACTGGTGTAGTGAGTCCTGGTAGCCCTGTCAGGTAAGAGTGGGTCTGCTGACCTCACATTTGGTGGTTCAAACCCACCAGCTGCTCCTATGAGAGCCAGAGGAGGCTGTCTGCTCCGGTCAAGATGGACAGTACGTTTGGTTTGGGGGTTTGCAATCCTGTGGTGCATTTGTCATCACTGATGAACCAATAAACTCAAACTCACTGCCATTGAGGCCATTTGGACTGATAGCCACCCTATTCTGGCACAGGGTGGATTTGAATGCTTACCTTGCAGTTAGCCGTCCAAAGCATAACCCACTAGCTACTAGAGTGCCTGACGAACTGGCCCTGCAGCCCTTTGTTTCCAGCAGGACGCACTCTTGTGTGTTGCGTGGCCCTATGGGTTTTGGCCAGTGTGTGCTGTCCTGTGGGCACTGTGGCAGTATCACACAGGATGGTTTTTCTGCCCTAGGAAGGTTCCTTACCCCACCTAAGTTTTTAAAGGAAGAATAAATATGTTCCCTTATTCAAATAGCATTTCAAAACAAAACAAAATCTACCAGCCCTTCTTCACCGCAATAGACATAAAACAAAAGTATATTGGAACTGGGTTTTAAAACTGCTTTCTCAGCCCATTCTGGAGGGCTTCTCTCCAAGCCCCACACTGGGGAGGAGTCGTTTCTGGGCAGGACCATTGTTGGGTGTGGGGTGCGGTGGGGATTGCCCAAGGCGAACACCGATCAGAATAAATAGGTTGGTGCACTGATGGAATAAAACAGCATCATCTCATAAACTTGTCATAAGCGATGGAAACAAGTGCTTATTATCTAATCAGTGCCTCTGTCGATTTCAAAATAATGCTCCTGATTTTAATTTGCCTAAGAGAATGGAAAATTAACAAATTGATAACATTTATGGGATAAAACTCTGTTGTGACCTGAATTTTCTGTGTATCTTCACTCTGCTTTTATGGGGGTGATGGTGGTAGTGGGTAGGAGTGGGGCTATAGAAGGTAGGTGTGTCAACCCAGAGATGTTACTGATTGTTTTTTGGGGGGGCTATAGAAATAATATTTCATGTGACAACTTGTGTTTATGTTAGATTCGTGCTTATTCCCACAGACGGGCACAGTTAATCAGATGTTTGCTTTAGAAACCCTCGTTTAATTTGATTGCTGTCTTTGCGGTGGTGATAGTTTATGCATACCCAGATAAAAATAATTGGAGCCGCACAGGCAACGTGGCTCTCCCAGTCTAGTTGTGAACGTGATTAATTATGTTGTCTCCCAGCCACACCCACTCTGGACTGGTAGTCCTGATGGCGGGGAACAGCATCCGGCATCTGGAGCCGTCGGTCTTTAGTTTCAGGCACCCCCGGTGGCCCCATCTTCATGCCCTTTTCTCCCTTATGGGTTTCGGCGATGCTTCCAGGCTGGTCTGGGGTTTAACATGATCTGAGGCAAGAGACCCTAGTGTCTCTGGATAACTTACAAGATGAATAATTGAACACTGGTTGTTGACATTGGCTGAAAAATGGATCATTTATCAGGGTGCATATCCAGTTGGTTTAGTTCTTATTTTGGAACATTAAAAAAACTGGTAGCTTTCTGTATTTGATAGTTCTCACTGCCTACCCCACTGCCTCTATGTCAACTCCTGGCAACGCCAGGTGTAGCTTACAGAGTAGCAGTGCTCCATGGGGTTTTCTTGGCTGTAATCTTTATGGAAGCCAGGCTCCAGGCCTTTATCATGGTATATGATAAAGATATGTACATATATATATATATATATATATATATATAGAGAGAGAGAGAGAGAGAGAGAGAGAGAGAGAGAGAGAGAGCCCTATATAGCTAACTACTAATTCATATTAGTATACTCGGTATAGTATGAGACCGTCATTCTTACTCCCATAAGGAGTTATAATCTCCGAATCTCACAGGGGTGGGTAGTTCCTGCCCAGGTTTAGGGGCCCGCTATGAGTCTGCATGGCCTCGATGGCAGTGAGCACGAATTCATATAGTGTTGATGACCCAGGGAGATGATGGGGAATGCCCTTCTTGGGGGGTGGCAGCAAAGGGAAACACTTAAGACTGCTTGTCAAGCTCAATTGTTGAAGCTTCATACCAAGAGGCGAATGTGTTTCTATCTGCTCCCCACGCGCGCTTTCCCCGTGAAGAATATGACAGGTCCTTGTGCTCCCGAGAAGCAGAGGTTGAAATTGTGCCCTTCTCCTTTCCAGATCTCTTTGATAACTACATGCAGCAGGATGCTCACGAGTTTTTAAATTATTTGCTAAACACGATTGCGGACATCCTGCAGGAAGAGAAGAAACAGGAAAAGCAAAACGGGAAATTGAAAAGCGGCAACCTGAACGAGCCTGCGGAGAATAATAAGCCCGAGCTCACCTGGGTCCACGAGATTTTCCAGGGGACGCTCACCAACGAAACGCGGTGCTTGAACTGTGAAACTGTAAGCACGAGGGGCGCTTCCGTTGGGCTCAGTCTGTGTTCACACGGGGATGTGTTGTGTGTGAGTGCAATGTGGGGCCTTCGCAGCTGCCTGCAATAGGTGGAGCAGCTCGGTTCTATTAGATGAGACTCAAGCGCGAACTTTTGGAAGGGTGTGCCCATTCAAGATGCGCCAGCTGGCTGAAGCAGAGTGCAGAGGAGAGCCGATCCTCAGCCCTCTTTGCGTTGCACCATGGGTAATTTCCACCGCCCACCCCACTGCCTTCATGTCAGTTCCTGGCAAGGCCAGGTGTAGCTTACAGAGTAGCAGTGCTCTATGGGATTCTCTTGGGTGTAATCTTTATGGAAGCCAGACTCCGGCCTTTATTCTGTGGAGCCTCTGGCTGGGCCTTTGGGTTGGCAAAAT